AATCTTTAACATTATTTTTTTAACTTGCAAATAAAGTAATGCTTAATAGTGTAATTTTTTATACATTTAGATTTGATTAATGATGATAACCAAAACTTGGACAAGGATATCGAAAATATGGATGAAACAGCAATAAACGTGAGTCAAAATAAAAAGAATAATATTGCCTCTGAAGACCATGTAACTTCTGATGAAGGTATAAACAAATAATTTTTGGTACAATAAGGTATTAAACAATACAAGTCGATTTTAAGTAATCCCGCTTAATATATATATAGTGTCTATTAATTTATTAATTTAATATTAAATAAATACAATAATGATACTAAAAATTTCCATTATTTAGATCCTAAAGATGCTGTTAATCCAGTAAATAATATGATACCAACCGATATCATTTTTGAAAATTTTCCAGCAGGTAATCATTCATATTTATTGTTCTTTTGTTTATAGTAATATAATTTGTAAATTTATATTTCAGAATATTGTTTCAATCCTGCAAAACACGATTGCGATTAAAAAATTATTGGAACAACAAAATGCATTTTTAAAGCAATTAGAGCGTACAAATAATTCGCTTCCACTGCTCTCAGCATCTGGTTCAAGCTGTAGTAGTACTTTTTCTCTTATTCCGAACAAACCTTTCAAGAAATTTACAAAATTACTTGATTTCGACATCGCATTAAAAACTAATGAGGAAGGACAAAAACAAATGGTAAAAATAGTCTACATTTCTTATTTCTTGTTTTTTGAATATTTGAGACAAAATTCAAGGTTCGAGCTGGTAAAATAATGTAAATGGTTAGAAAGAAATTGCTTTCAAAAGCAATTTTGATTGTTCAAGCTTGATTAAACTAGGATTATTTTATAACATTCATTATAATTTCATTGTACCATTGTTGAATATGCCAAAACTACTGATATCTATTTTAAAAAATATATATTTAACCCTTTTTCCTTCTGACTAACTGACTTTAATTGAAATTAAAATAGACAAAAAGGATGCTCAATATTTACCAGAAAAGGCTCGAACAATTGTATATATATATATATGTATTTACATTTTTTTCGTAGGAAACATTTGTCTATTTATTAGGAGGCACTTCTCCCCACGATCAAATAAAAGCTGGACTAGAAAAAATATTTACTAATAAATTGGGTACAAAATGTTCTTGGATGGGTCGCAAAGGCAACTTCGAAGTGAACACACTAATAATTATGGACATTTTAAAACGTATATAGAAATGTAAAAATATATAATTATAAAAAATTAATGCTTTTAATAGCATAATAATTGTACCGGTACTATATTAACTTTTTTTTTGTTACATTTGTAGGATCGACTAGAAAACACTTTCCATTTTTGACAGATAAACAATTTCAGAACTATGTGTCAGCTTGGTTAAGGCACTCAAAAACGCGCTACGACAGAGAACTAGTATGTTTTACGTTTTACTTGTATATTTTAGTTTTCGATATAACAACATATTTATTATTACTTTTATTTTTTACAGGCAAAGCAACAACGTCAATAAGTTTTATCATTTTTTAAGTATCACAATAATAGTTACTTGTGTATTTAGTGTATTCATGAATTTTTATTTTTACGTTAAAATCAAAGAGAAATTAATATTTTTATATTAAATGTTGGCTTGTATTAAAATTATTTAGCGATAAATGAATGCAATTAGATGATAACTTATATATATTACTAAAACTTCTTATTGCCCACATTAACAGCACTGACCATATTAGTTGTGTTAGCGATTTGTGTTATTATGTATCTTATAAGTTAATTATATCCCCCATAGCAAAAAATGTCACAGTGACATCACAATAAGCTCACAATAGAGTCACAAGGTGACAAAAAAATGTAATGTCACTGTGATGTCATTGTGAGATTATTGGAAGGTAACAGTGATATCATTAATCACAATTGAAGTGATATCATTGTAAAATGTCACATTGATATAACTAGTATATCACGAAATGTAACAATAAGGATAAAAAAATCTGTCATAGCAA